TTATATCTTGCTTCTAACCTTCCACTCCAGGTTACCTAATCTCCTGCTGGTCTCCTGGTTTTGTATTCTTTCAAGTTTATACTTTGTCCCATTTTCTTGTCTTCTACTTTGACTTCTCTTAACAGTGATTCTGGTTCTCAACTAAAACTACATAGTGGTACGTTGATTGGGTAAAACATTCCTACTGGGGTTGACTCAGTTGCAAATCCTTGTCCCGTGAGCAACGTTCCTGTGGGACTTGCCCAACCCAGTGCACAGGAACCAGACAATGTCTACTCGTAACTTACCTTGTCCTTAAATGAACAGGGAGCACATTTGGATCCTGGGATTAATATAAATTCCAAATACCCTCTAGTGTGTTGTTTTATGAAAACTGTTGAAAAAATTAAGACAAAAGGGCCTTGATTTTTTAAAATATAATTTATTGTCAAATTGGCTTCCATACGACACCCAGTGCTCATCCCAACAAGTGCCCTCCTCCCTGCCCATCACCCACTTTCCCCTCTCCCCCATCAACTCCCACTTTGTTCTCTGTTTTTAAGAGTCTCTTACGGTTTGCCTCCCTCCCTCTCTGTTTGTAACTATTTTTCCCCTTCCCTTCCCCTATGGTCTTCTGTTAAGTTTCTCAAGTATCACATATGAGTGAAAACATGGTATCTGTCTTCCTCTGACTGACTTATTTCACTTAGCATAATACCTTCCAGTTCCATCCACATTGCTGCAAATGCCAGGATTCCATTCTTTCTCATTGCCAAGTAGTATTCCATGGTATATATAAACCACATCTTCTTTATCCATTCATCAGTTGATGGGCATTTAGGCTCTTTCCATAATTTGGCTCTTGTTGAAAGTGCTGCTGTAAACATTGGGGTACATGTGCCCCTATGCATCAGCATTCCTGTATCCCCAAAGGGCCCTGATTTTCTTTTTTTTTAGCAAACAAGGATCATGGCAGATTAAATAGCTCATGTAAATGAATAAGCCTTGTGCATGGTCAAACTTGCCAGCATTAGAATTAAATAGCAGATTATTCAAGACACACATCTTCAACTGTCTGTTAGTTTTATTGGTACAGGAAGCCCAGGTGATACTTTCTATCTAAAATTTCTTTTGAGGCAATCCAGTCATTGAGAAATGCCTTCCCAGAATTTAAGGAAGAAAAAAAGAATAGACTTTTCAGACAGATTATGCACAATGCCAAAAGCAGTAACTTCAGTCTGAATTCAAGTGTCCTCTTTGCAGAAAAGCAATAGCTTCCTTGTCGAGTGGGCATCCTAATTATGTTCACCAATTACACATAGGCCATAATGAGAACAAATGATTCAAAACTAAGAGAACTTTGTGTAAATTAAAACCATGGGCTCTAGCAAGGGAAGTTATTCAGCAGGATGATTTCCATGTTCTGAGTAATGGACTTCATTGAAATTGGTACAGAAGCTCACTGTGTAGAAAAGGCAGAAAGATATTTTGGGGGCTAAGGTAGAGTTTATCCCCACTCTCTGGGGCCTCTCTTCTAGGAAGTTGCCAACGAGGGTTTCTGGGTACAGTTTAGAAACTATTGGCTTAGGTGTCTTCAAAAGGCATTTTCATAACCAAAAAGAAAAGAAAATAGAGTCATCCATCAAATAAACTCTAGCTGGGCATATGAGGCAACTTGCCTCTTTCAGTCTGAGGTCCTGTTTTCAGGTGGTATTTTCATTTGCACAGCCTGGGGCTCCCCTTCAATCATTTATCTCATTTAGACAAACTCTTACCTCCAGTGGCGATTAAGCACACTTGAGTTCCTAGCAACACCCTAAGTCAAGTTGGACAAACAAAACTGGCTCATGTCTTATTCATTCCCACATATTAACCTTAGAATTTTTCACTAGCATTCTTCATAGCAAAGCAGACAACAGCTGACCTTGTGCAAAGATTCAGTTTCTTGTAGGAGAGCTTTTGACACAGGAAGCACCCCCACTGGGCAGGCAGTTCAGGATCCAGAACAAAACTTGGCCATTTCACGTGTTCATTCGTTGTATTTTCAAACCTTTTCTACAAAAGTCAATAGTGCTGATTTGAAAGGAATTCTGCACCTGGGTGTTTTTAATGGCTGGAAGGGCCATCTGAATGTTACTCTAGACTTGGGAATAATTGAGGCTGAATAATAGATGTCCATATTTTGTCTGACAAACAACTTCAGAAAAAACCTTGATGCAAACACTGAAAGAAATGCATTACTTGTGGTTACTGTATTTTAGCAGATAGTTGAATTTACTTGAATTGAGCTACATTTATGTCACCCATACTCATTAATGGAGGCCAGCCGAATGGATATCCTTCTAACAAATACAACTAGGTCTCAGGAGCTGCATTTTCTCGAGATTTCCGTATTCACTAAGAGATCCCTGCTTATGTTTGCCCCTTTTGTCTGCAGCCAGTTAAAGAACTGCGCTCGATTTGAAAAAATTACTAGCTGCATTTTTTCAAGTAAGTGATTGTTCATTAATGGACTAGGTAGTTTTGCTAGAGTCGGGAAAGAAGGCACATACTTTCTTAATCAACAAGAAGTGACTCACGCTAGGGAGACTCAGAATGAGTTCTTTAAGTGACATGTACATTTGATTTGATAAATCTTTTTATGGATATATAAAAAGTGCACATTATCTAACATCAGTATGACTGAAGAACATTTTAATTGAAGATAATAAAAAGGACAGTTAATGGCCTGCTCTGAATTTATTTCAAGGAGAAAAGTTATGCTTGAAGTACGACTGAGTACACACACACACACACACACACACACACACACACGTGTACTTCACTCACTCGCCATCAGGAGACTAATAGAAAAGGTGAGCAATTTGGGTTTATGATGAAAACTAAGTATTTTGGTGAACTACTAATGGGAAATCATGATATAGGAGGTGTTTGCATGTAAGAACCGTGTTTGTTAATCTGGGGGTTTTATCCTTTTGTGGGAAAGTTTTATTTATATATATGTAAATAAAGACATAATAGTTAAGTTATATACAGTTATATGGTTAGTTGTCCATGTTCTTTTTTTAGAAAGAAGTTTATTTTGAGAGAGAGCGAGTGCACGCGTGCGCATGGGGGAGGGGCAGAGAGAGAGGGAGACAGAATCCCAAGCAGCCTCCATGCTATACACGCAGAGCCTGATCGATGTGAGGCTCAAACTCATGAACTGTGAGATCATGACCTGAGCAAAAATCAAGAGTTGGACGGACACTTAACCGACTGAGCCACCCAGGTGCCCCCGTCCATGATCTTTTAACAATTCATACTCAGTAAGTTACCTGTAGAAACTTGTATCTCGTGTACTCTATTAAGTATTTTGATGACCATTGATAGCCCTTCTGTATATCTGTCAGGGTGTGTACGTGTGTGTGTACATGCATGTGTTTCTCCAAATAATGGTCAACAAATTTTATAGCTGTGATTATTGGACACAGTTAAGAGAAGAAATTTTACTAACTTCTAGAAAGAAGTAACAAGGTGACATAAATTGCTTCTCATAATGTGCAAAATTGTATTTTACCTGCCCCAGCCTTTCTCCCTTCTGTAGGGCGGGAACAAGTGTCAGTAGCCTCTCTGGGACATTAAGTTTAAGGGGGTAGCCAAGTTGAGTGCAGAGGCCCGAATGAGTTCTGTAGAGTGAAGGAATTATTTGCCATTGGTTGGCAAATTGAGGGAATCTTAAGATGGGTTGAGGGGGACACAGTACGAAGCCAAGGGCTTGGATTCCTGAGATCAAGTAACAGAATAGTAAGGTGGGTGAGTAGGGGCATAACAGTCTGGAAGAATACCAGGAATAAGATGTCTTTAACCTTGGATGAGCTTTTTCTTTCCCCTCAGTCAGTGGGGGGTGTGGGTAAGTTCCAGCAGTGCCTCATTCACCCTTGACCACCTCTGTTATCGAGAATAATTGAAAGCCATCTGCATTGGGTTCTTTACTTGCCCATTATCACCAAAGAATCTGTGCAAAAATCGCCTAGCTGCAGAAGAGATTCAAAATATTCAGCATTTATTGGGTAAGATCTCCCAGGATTTGATCTGAATAATCACATCAGGTGGTCTAGAGTAGAGCCCTTGTAAAATGTTTTCTGAAAACCCCTAAAGTCTCATAATATTGAAATTACAAATCTCAGCTCTGCGTTATTTTAGAAAGAACATATCCCGAGTATCAAAGCTTTAAAAAATACCTCCCAAATGAATTTTCAAGGTCCAGGGGACAGAGCAAGGTACCCAGAACTAGGGTACAGAAATTAGTAAGGGTTTTTGATAAAAACTGACTTAGCTGGTCATGCGATTGAACTTTTAGTTCTGAGAAATTAAGCATATTGCTGAAAATGCTTTCATATCCTCTCAAAGCTGTCAAGCCCGTTGTCCTGTAAAAGGCCTTTGATAATTATATGTCAGTCCTAAGGAAATCAATTTACCAATTTTGAGAAGATTCTGTTTCAGTGTCTAATGATCCTCATTATTATGATTTTTTCATTACTTAAACTTCACTCCTTCAAATCACAACTTACCCTCTATATTTTTTCAATCCTAACGTATCCTCTCAATTTCTTTGTGGAGTCTCAAAATGGCAGCTAATGTCAATCATATCTAAGATTTGTAAAACATTCATACATTCATTATCTTATTAAATCCTAACAATCCTGTAATGCAAATACTATTGTTATTATCACGGTTCTACGAAACCTGGAACTGATGATGATGTAGTTTATCCAAAGTCACACATCTATTAAGCGATGGAGACACTTGTTCAGATATTCTAGTATATACGATGAGAGTGACAGCGTTGAAATACTTTGACAGTGATGTCACTTCATGGCATTAGTTCCCAAGGCTTCACTCTGATGGGGAACTCCCTCCTGGTTAATAGTATCTACCACTATTTGCTAGGCACTATTTTAAGCACTTAATATACATACTAACTTATTTAATACTTGCAGAAACCTAAATGTATGTATGATTATTGTCCCCATTTTACAGATGAGGAACCTGAGGCCCAGAAGTGAAGTCACTTTTCCAAGTCACATAGGCAAGCCGGCAATGTCAGGAGTCCAATCCAGGTAATCAGGCTCCAGAATGTGTACTGAGTTTTGTTGTTGTTGTTGTTTTTAAGAGGGAGAGAGCATGCCAGCAGGGGAGAGGGGCAGAGGGAGGGAATGGTGGGGTGGGGAGAGAGAAAGAAAGAATGAATGAATGAATCTTAAGCAGTCTCCATGCTCAGCATGGGGCTTGACATGGGGCTTGATTCCACGACTCTGGGATCATGACCTGGGCCGAAATCAAGAGTTAGCCACTCAATCAACTGAACCAGTCAGGTGCCTCAAGGGTCTGTAGTCTTTATCATGGCATCATCCTGTTGTCCAGGAGAGTGCGAGTGAATCACTGGGGCCATACCTGGTTTTGCAGTGTAATTTCTGCAATCATGGCCTTAAGTGTGCCTAACTAATCTGATCGTCGTTGAGCTTTATTGATCATCTACATGTCTACATGGCATACCGTCCAAAGATTCAATTAGGTTTTCCTTCAGTGTCAAGACAAGAGTGAAAAAGTCACGTTCACACTCACCCCTACTTACTCTCTAAACTCTTCAGAGGACTCAGTTCACAGATGTAGAAAAAAGCATGTGTTGTTGAGCAGTTGCACCTGCTAATCAACTAGAGTGACAGAGTGACATCCCTGAACTGACTGCAGGGTTCCATTTTAGCAAATCAATACCCGGGGTGACACAGATCCACTAGGGAGGAAGCCAGAAGTGACCTGTGAGGCCTGCCACTTCGATCTGCTCACTCGACCTGTGTTCCCTGCTCAGGTCATAATGCCTAAATAACCTTCCTCCTCCTCACCGTCTCCGTTCTTCCCCGGACATGTGCGTGCGTGTGCACGCACACAGAGATACTGCGTTAAAATTTTTCCAAATTGGGGCGCCTGGGTGGCGCAGTCGGTTAGGCGTCCGACTTCAGCCAGGTCACGATCTCGCGGTCCGTGAGTTCGAGCCCCGCGTCGGGCTCTGGGCTGATGGCTCAGAGCCTGGAGCCTGTTTCCGATTCTGTGTCTCCCTCTCTCTTTGCCCCTCCCCCGTTCATGCTCTGTCTCTCTCTGTCCCAAAAATAAATAAACGTTGAAAAAAAAAATTTAAAAAAAAAAAAAATAAAAATAAAATTTTTCCAAATGAATAAACAACCATTTGAGGAAAGGTAGTATAAGTGAGTTTAAAATCAACTTACCCTTGGAAATTCCTTAAATTGCCCCCAAATGTACAGTTCAGAATATCTCTACGTAATTTCAGCATAACCAGTTTTTCCTTCAGTGTTGACACCAGTTGTTTTTTTCAGTTGGTTATTAGCTGAATTAATTAGCTTGCCATTTGGAACCCTAT